AGTTGCTCCAACTCTATTTTCACAGCTAGGAGGGGTTGCTGCTGGTTCTCAATCGAACCGCGCCTTTGGTGAGCTTGAGCACGCTTGAATGCCGCAACCAAGGCGTTGGAGATGGAAGACTGTTGGGGGTGAGAGCCCAACATGGGGCTAGAATTGGAGGCCGGGAGGCGGTTGAGGGCAACATTGAAGCAAAGCTCAAGGGCTTTGCATTGGAGAGGGTGAGAGTGTGATTGAAGGCAAGCGGTTCGCAATAGGCCAGTTGAAGAGGAAAGCATGGTGTGTGCAACATGGAGAGGAGTCACTTGGGCATGGCCACGTTGCCTAGCTAGGGTTACTGCTTGCTTTACTATATTTGCAGCCTCTGTGGTTAGACCTTGTTGAAGTGTGCAACCTCCTGCCCTCATCTTCAACTCTGGTGATCTCCTATTGCTTGCTTTGATTATATAAAAGAAAAAAGGAGTCAAATTAGACGGTGAATTAGTAGATGGAGAACTTGTTGAGATTTTGGGTTCATGGCCTGGTGATCAGTTTTGTGTTGAAAGGGAGAAGTAAGATGGGTTTTGAGAGAGGGGCTAAGAGAATTTAGAACTCAGCTATATGTAGCTAAGATCAATTATATATGGAGTGTAGTAGTAGTGGTAGTATGAGAATTGTTTGTTATCTAGGGATCTAGATGATCATGATGATATAGTCGTGGAGAGAGAGAGAGAGAGAGAGAGAGAGAGAGAGAGAGTTTGGAGAGAGAAACCTACAAAGAGAGAGTGAAGGGCAGAGGGGGGTATGAAATTTATGGGAGGGTGGGGTGGTGCTTTTCTTGTGGGTGAGGTAAAAATTGGGGTCCAAAGTCGATTTTGTAGTGGAAAGTGGAATGCATGTGCTGACAAGCAGTACTCTAATGTTGTGCACCAGCATCAAAGGTAACTCAGCTTTGCCTTCTCTCTTTAATTCTTTCTCACACATCAAATTTCATAAAAGATATGGTATTCATTCGGAAGTGCGTCTCTCTCTTTTGATGCAAAAGGATTTAATTAATTATTAATAATTACTCATATGGTACTAACCTAGAAATAAACACCTCCTTTTCTAGTAATATACAGAAAATCTTTGGTGTATTATAATATTTTCTGCATAATCTAATTACCAAATTGCTGCCAATGGTATACTTTTCTCCCCCCCTTTTTCTCTTTTTGGATATAAAGCTAGCTATATAGTATAACAACTAAATGAATTTTTCATCAAGTAGTTTTTAATTTAGCAGCATTTCTCTTTTCAATGTTGGAATAATATATTCAGTTTTTTGTTAGTGTTATTATTTTTCTAATGCTGGAAGAGATGTTAAATTTGTAATTCCTTTTACGTGAATTCAAAATACCCTATGTGAAACCAATCGGCAATAAAGAATCTAAAATATATATATATATATATACTGTGTTGTGAGAAACTTTCTCCATTAGAAACCCCTCTCCTCGTTGGTGAGAAACTTTCTCCATTAGAAACCCCTCTCCTCGTTGATAGTAACATCACTCTGGTTACTAATCTCCATCTTAAGAAATTGGTGCCGCACGAGGATAAATATATTCAGTAATTAATCCAACATTATTGATATATATATTTAGGAATGATGAGGTCATAGGTTTTTGTACTGTACTGCATAATTTAACCAATGAGAGAGAGAGAGAGAGAGAGAGAGAGAGAGAGAGAGAGAG